ATCAGCATCCTGGGCCTTCAGGAAACCCCCGGCAGGTGGGCCTTGCACTCGAGGTGGCGTTCATTGGCGTTTCGTTTCCTTGTGTTTTAATCTGGGAGTTGCCTGAGGGCGTCCGGGCCTGGCCCTGGCAGCACTTCTTGCCCTCCACCTCGAGTTGACTTCTATGGGAAGACCCTTTCCAGGGGTGGGTGTCAGCCTTTGCTCTGCCCGCCCAGGTCTTGGCTCAGCACACTCCAGTGAACAGTCCCACTTGGTGAGGGGCCTTTTGCAGCAGACGGTGGCCCTCCGCCCCATCTTATCTCTTCGACCAGAAGTACTTCGAGGTCTGCGTGTGTCAGCTTCCTGGAGGCACTTGGTTTGTGAAACGTGATGAACCCCCAGCGCATCGTTTGGGAATCACGGACCGACGAGGCCAGCCCTTCTCCCCGTGTGTGAGCCAGCCGCCACTTCGCTTTAAAGAGTGTTCACAGCCTGACCGCCTTCTTCCCTCCTTTCGTGAAGAAGGGGACCAGGAGCATGGTGTGACCCCCCACGGGAACTTGACCCTCTTCCCAGCCCTCCCTGAGATGGGCCAAGCCAGGTTCTGCAGGGGGTCAGGGAGCCTCTTGTCCTGGGCGGGTCACCAGGAAATTGCCCCTCGTGCCCATCGCATTGCTTTTAAGTCACCAGGCATTTGTTCCCTTCGGTGTGGCCCAGAGGTAGACGACAGAACGCAGATTCCTTCCCCCCCGGAGCTGGCCGGACGGCTGCCAGGGAGGCCCAGGCCCCTCGTGAAAGGCGCTTCCTGTCCCCTGTGATGGCCGTCCTCTCCTGGTGCCCAAAGACAGCCAGCTCACTCGCAGCAGATACTGGAAGCCCGCTCCTCGGAAGCCTGCTGGAAACCTGCATCCAGCCCTCCTGGTGCCAGCAGCCCCGGCCTCCGGGGACCTGGTCCCTCCGCAGAGGACGGCTCAGGGCTCAGGCTTGGCTAGCGGTGGCTGTTTGGTCTCAGCGTGGTGGTTCGTGGTCCCCGGCTGTGGTCGGGGAGATGGGGGTAGAGTCCCACGGCTGGAGGACTTGCACCTGAGAGGTGATTTGCTCATGACCTTGCTTAACGAGTGGCTCCGGCTGGAATGGACATGGCCTGGCCCAGCCGGCCACGTGGCATGTCCGATGTGAGGTTGCACACAACACGGCCCTGGGTGTCGGGAAAGGCCGGGAGCGGACGGCCCGTGACGTTCGTGTGCGGATTGCACCCTCCTGCGGGCCTTGGCCGTTGAGACAGCAGCAGCTTCCTTTTTGTGTTTGCACTGTTGGTTTACACGTAACCTTAGCTAATTCCACTGTGTATATAAATTGTATTTTTTTAATTTGTAAAATCCTATTTTTATTTGAACTTTTAGAACTTGGAAGTTCTCATAACCTTACCACGTCGGAATAAAACGTCTCCATCCGTCTCCTTCAGCTCGTCTCCATGGTGTTCTTTAAAGTGGTGTTTTTGTCTCACACCCTCTTACTAACCTGCAAGATGGCAAGCTAGGAAGTAGCTTCTTAGTCTCAGCTCTTCCTCAGTTTCCTGCGGGACCCTCCACTCACAGGGTCCACTCACTGCCTTGGAAACCAGGCGAGTCCTGTGGACCCTGGCAGAAATCACCCTTCCTCCCAGTCTCCCTTCCCACTGACACTGTTATTACTGATGCTCTTCTCTTTTAAACACGGCCTGTCCCTTCCCACAGCGGTCACGGAGAGCCCACAGCGATAGCGGGGAGCCCACAGCGATAGCGGGGAGCCCACAGCGATCGCGGGGAGCCCATTTATATTCCTGACTGTTGCGTTTAGGAATTTGCCCCACAAACAGATTCCCCTGAGACCAACCAGAGGAAATGAAGTCGACGCTGAGCCCGTGGAGGTCGGGCCTGTGGCAGCTTCTGCCGGCACGGTGCCGTTGCTTTGTGTTCACTTCGGGTCTTGCCAGAAATGTGCCTTTTTCTCTAACTGATCTGCTTCCAGCTGCCATTCCAGCAGCGGTAGGATGGTCTCATGCGGTCCCCTTCACCTACCCCCACGCTTCCTGTTTCTGGAGCACTTTCTGTGCATTTGGCACTTTGAGGCGACTCACTGCCTCACGGTGGCACCTTGGGAGTACGGCCCGCTCCCCTCCCTCCCTCCTAGCACCTCCCACTGCCCAGTGCCGGACCTCCAGGGCCAGGTGTGGGCAGACGCTGCTTCCGGTCTCTCCCCTTGTCCTTGTCAGTCTGCCTCTCGGTTGTCTGCCCTCCTGTGCGTGAAGTCCACACAAGGGCTGTCTTCAGTGGAAGTGGTGAGGTTAGAGGTCTTTCCTCATCTCCGCTCCCCTCATCATTCACTTCTGGCTTCCCCGTCCCTGGACAGGGAGCCAGTTGCTACGTTATTACCCCTTTTCCCAATTTCCACACGAGACCAGGACAAGTGGACTGATATTCACTGAGCACTGACTGCATGTGCTGCTGGAGGAAATGCCTGAACAGGACGGTTACCCTCGGAGAGCTTGCAACCCAGGGGCAGACACAATTGCTACCAAGACAAACTGTCCTATTATAATAGTTACACAGCCTGGCCAGCATGGCTCAGTGGTTGAGCATCAGCCTATGAATCAGGAGGTCACGGTTCAATTCCCAGTTAGGGCACATGCCCGGGTTGCAGGCTCGATCCCCAGTAGGGGCCGTGCAGGAGGCAGCTGATCAATGATTCTCATCACTGATGTTTCTATCACTCCCTCTCCCTTGCTCTCTGAAATCAATACAAATGTGTGTGTGTGTGTGTATATAAAATAGTTATACACAAACCACTGCCAGTGAGGTTTAATTTATACTGGGCATGTGGTATCAGGGAAGGCTTCTGGGAGGAGGTGGCATTTACGATGAGCCTTGAGGAAGACTGAGTAGCTGTTCCCTGGATAAAGGGTGTTCTGGGTGGAAGGAACAGCACGCATCAGGGCACATAGAAGCTGTCGTGTAGCTGGTGGAGTGTCGCAGAAGCTGATCCAGAGAGAGGCGCAGGGAGGCGATGGTGGGAAATGGGTGCGAGAGCTACTCCCTGTTGCAGGCGAGCTTCCTGGCTGGTGGTTTCTGCTTAGGACACCTTTTCAGAAGCAAATACAACGGAACTGCCTTCTCCAGGGGCTCCCGCCTCGGTAAAGTCCACAAGTCCAGTTTGTCAGCATAGCAAACATTTCTCTCTTCACTTTTCTCAGCTTTAAACCCAATTTTTTGCCTACTCTTCCTAAAACAGTAAGTGCAACTCACTCACGGCAGCATCTATCTCAAATGGATCAGAGAATGTAGTGCCCTCCTTCTATGAATGTGCCTTTGCTAAAAAGCTGTAACCAAAAGGTACTAGGGGTGCAAAACGTCTACTGCATACAAGCTACATTGGGTGTAACCGGAGAAAGGAACGCGTAGATGCTTAAGTTTTCTTTTTCATAGAAAAGGATCCTGAATCAGAGCAAATCTGAAAAATAAATGCCCTGTCAGGCTCTTGGGGGCTTTTTCAGTATCTGTGCTGAGGCCGGAGTGAGAGAGCAGGTTCAGAACTTCAGCTTAAATCCAACCCCCCACCCCAAAAATAATGGAGGGAAGGAGGGAGGGAAGGAAGAAAGGAAGGGAGGGAGGGAGGGAGGGAGGAAGACACAATTTGTCCAAATCCACCGAATGTACACCACCAAGAATGAACTCTGTGTAAACTATGGAATTTGGGTGACAATGACGTGACAGTGCAGGTTCATCAGCTAACGGATGTATCCCCCAGTGCGGGGTGTTGATGATGGGGAAGGCGGAGTATGTGAGAGCAAGGGGTCCCTGGGAAATGTGTCCTCTCTGCTCAATTTCGCTGTGAACCTAGAATTGCTCTAGAAACGAAGTTTATTAATTGTTTTTAAAAGGAGGGAGGGAGGCACTGAGCATTCTTCATTCTGACAAAAGGTAAGACGATGAGACATACCAGGCTGCATTCTTTCGCCGCGGCCCCACCCCCGCCCGGCAAACAGAAAGAAACCACACCGACACGGGCGCTCTCGGCTTCTGTCCGAGGTGCTGAAGTTTATTCATTTTCAAACCTCTTTCAATAACAGGTGAGGAGTTACCCTAAAACTTAATGCACGGGGTGGGCGAGGCCGGGAAGCCACGGGTAAGCCATCTTATCTACATTTAGCATAAAATGTGAGACATGTCGACAGGCAGCTTGAATAGGGGGCTCGTCACAACTCCACTTGCCGGCAACGAGATGGGACCAAGAGGCGTGGGAGACCGGGGGTGAGGGTCTGTCGGAGTCCGGAGTCCGCGGCCCGGCCACTATCTTGGGCCACTATCTTCGGTACTACAAAGAAAACACAGGCCCGTTTAGCGTGGCCGCCTGGCTCTACTGGGAAAGCCGTCTTCATAGGACTGCGCTCACCTCCCACCAGCCCCCACGTCAGCCTCATGATGCCCCTCTGAGTTGCACGAACCGATAAACAAGCTGCCCACTGGACGCTCAGCAGGTCAACCAGTTTCAATTGACCTTTGGGATCTGACAGTTCCGGGAGGAACACCGCCTGCCAACCAGCAGTGTGACGGCGGCTTGGTCCCCTGAGCACGTTAAGTACCCCATGCTCAAGGCAGTAACATTTTTTCTCAGCAAACTGTAGCCAAGGATGATGCCACGGTCCCTAGATTCATGGGACAGGCTCCCCGTTGGGGCAGACATTTCCAAGGGAGTAGCGTCCATGCCGGTCCCTCTCCTGTGGAAAGCGTCCCCGTGGTGGCATTCTAAGACGAGGCGCGAGACTCCACACCTGCCTTCCTCCCCACCCCGTTCCCACCCCCAGTTCCTCTTACCCGGAAGCTGTTGCAGCCCAGGCCGCTCTGGGCTCCAATCCTGTCCATCCTGCCCCCGAAGCAGCTGGACCTCCGCAGGCTGCGAGGGGCTGCGAGCAGCGCCCTCAGCTTGTTTTTCAGGAGGGCGGACCTGTCGGAGGAGTCCCAGGGGCCCCGCCCAAGGACACCCCCCTCTCGCGGGACTGGGTTGACCTCCCCCGTCCAGGGAGACATCTCAGGGAGGGGGCTGAGCTCTGCCCCAGCTTCCTCGTTCTGCTCGCGTAGTACTTGCGGGGGCATGACCTCGTCTTCTAACGGCATCTTGTCCTCCAAATGGTCCAGCAAATTCTTTACGAGGGGAAAACACAGGGGACGGATGAGGTCTCACTGACGGGCAGAGTCTCCCCAAGCCCCCCGGCCCCAGGCCAAGCCCCTACCTTGAAATCCATCAGGTCGGCGTTGGCCACGGGGCTGTACACGGGGTTGGCTCTGGTCTGCCCTGGGAGCTGGACCGCCAGGAGGAGGAGAAAGCTGGCGGTGATGGTGGAGAAGGAGCCCATGCTGGCGGTGGTCAGGGAGTGGTCTGCTGCTGGCTGCCTTCTCTCTCTCCTCTCTGGTTCCCCTCTGCTGACCTTCGCTCCGCTCTGTCTCCGGCTGCTCTGCGCCTCCTCTTTTTATACCCGCCGGGCTCTCCGAGAGCGCCAGGGGGACAGAGCCCTCCCCATTCTGTCACTTGCCGCGATAAAGCCGCTGCGTGAGGAGCCAGCAGAAGATGCCCTTTTAAAGTTATCGGCCCAGCCGAGCTCTCCACAGCCCCTCCGCCTTGAGCAGCCCCAGCTACCTCCGGGAACCTCGGCGGCAAGAGCCACATTCTTGTTGATTTGCCTCAAGAGGTTCCCACTTCAAAGGTGTGAGAAGAGCAAAAAAGAGTCCTTGGTTATCTCACAGCCATGCGCTGCCTCTGCCTCGGCTGCTCTCTCCCCGGCAACGGACCCGGTGCCGGGAATCGCCCCGATGGTTTGCGGCTCAGCTGTCAGGGCCTCCAAATAAGGGCGGGAGAGGAGGAAGTGGCGGGCGGCCGGCTGCGAGGGACAAATTAGTCCCGATGCTCAGGCGGCCTCACACCTGACTCATCAGCGCCCAGGGCAGAGCCTCACCCTCCACGGGGCTGCCCTCCCTGTTGGCAGCTGCTGTCAGCGGTCAGGGGCAGCGGGGGTGAGTTTTCTGAGTCCTAACTCAGCCGGGCACCAAAGGCGATGAATGCTCCAAGAAGCCAGCTCCCAAATGTGAGCACCAAGAAAAGTTTGGGGAGCACAGTCATTCCCCTGCCGAGCTCCGCCCCCTGCACCCCCACGGCCCCTCCAAGGTGCCGAGGGGACAGGCACAGAACCAATGCCTCTTTTCAGCCTGCTGCCTGGAGGAGCTCAGATTCTTTGAGTGGGAAGCGTGTCATAGTCCCAGGAGGCGGACGGTATGGTTCCCGTGGACTGAAGGACAGAACTGAGACTGAGGACTTAGGTCCCTTGCCCAAGGTCATAAGCGGCAGAACCAGGACTTGAACCCCAGGTCTCACAGCATCGCCCATGTTCTTATGCCGTTTCATGGAGACTGTGGCTCCTTAGCACGTTGGCTCCTTGCAAGCCTTTTGGTGCAGCCCCTGGTGACATGCACCCTGTTCCCATCTCTCAGGCTGCCTCTGAGCCGCACCTCACCTCCCCCTGCCCAGGGGCTGCAGCTGTGCGTTTGGGGCAGGTGTGTGTGTGTGTGTGTGTGTGTGTGTGTGTGTGGATTGTCTCAAGGACAGCACCCCATCCGACCTCCTCGACCTCATTAACACACCTAACGCGTCCGCACAGGAGCTCAGGAAATGCGTGTTGGTGACCGGCTCCCTCCCAGCCTGACCCTCCCCAGCTGTGCTCACTGCTTGGCTCTCGGGCAGCGAGAGCAGGATGCGGCAGTGGTTTCATTCTGAGGCGGGAGAAAGGAGCCTCTTCAGTCACTGGTTTGGGTCGGCCAGACTCAACTTGAAATCAAAAGGGGGGTCATCCTGAGTAGAAGCTCTGGGGGCAAAGAACCATCGCATCCTGATGAGCCCCTGGAATGTGCCCAGAGCTTAATTGCTCGTTTGGCAGGGTTATTATTAGCAAAGAGGACTCAGTGAGCAGCCATGCCGGGAGGAACCGGGCTCCGGCTGCGTGCGTCACGCGGCGTCTCCTGGAGATGCCCTTTAACACAGCCTTTGATGCTGGTGAGGACCTCTGGGAGGCGTCGATCGATCGTGGGAGGTGGCCGCTGAGGGCCCACACTGCCCTCCGTCCTGAGCCACTTCTGGAGTCTGCAGGAGGCCCGAGGAGGAGGAAGTCCTGTCCCAGGTTCTGGAAAGAGAACTCAGAATTCACCCACCTCCTTTTACTCAAGTGGGGCTCCCTCTCCCCGAGTGGAGCTGGAACGGGCGTCCAGTGTCTGCCGCTGAGTGTCTGGGGAGCCAGGCTTTGTTTGTTTGTTCGCAGAAGGGACTGGGAGAAAAAGAACTGCCCTGAGGACTTTGTGTAGAACCAACACCCCCTCCTGCACCAACGGGCCCCCGATAAAACACAGGCAATTCCCAAATACACGTGTTCCCCCCAATCCCAGGAAATCCAGGGGCTTGCGCCTGAAACGGACTTGACGTTAAGCTTCTCTTCCTTTCCATGCCCCTGCTCAGTTTGGGGGGGAGGGGGTGTGTGGAGGAGCAAATATGCAATGGGGTGTTTAGGGGCCAGCCTGTAAGAGTGAGAGAAGAAGAGCAAAAGGCACAGAAAACCAAATCCACCCCCACCTCTCCCACTGGCTGCCAAACCAAAGCCTTCAGTTCCTGACCACTGGGAAGACGCCACACTGGTCATCTATCGAATGAACATTGCAAATGGGTGGGAGAGTCCAGAATTGGGGTGTCTCCATAGGGATGCTGTGGGCAGCTTTGGGGAGCCCTAGGGTCCAGGGGTGTCACACGTGCATAACTGGTATGAGACGCCCACCCTATTCATGGCACAAGTCTGTCAGAACCAACTGGTCTAAAGCAGAAGGCCCCGTTGGGAGAAATGGGTAGGACGCTGTTGCATATGGAGGGATGGTTGTCTCTGGCTTTGAACAGATGTTCTGTTCCTTTGGTACAATGTGGAGGTTCCTGGGGTAAGAAGCGGGAACGGGTCCCTAGAAACCAAAGCCCAAGGGGAAATTCATTTGCATAAAGCATTATGGGGGTTCTGGTCCAAGGGAAGCAAGAGGGAGGGGGAAAGGGAAGTGAGGTAGTGTATTCGTCAGCTATTGCTGCGTAACAAATTGCCCCGAACTTACCAATGTCAAACAGCACACCCTGGCGGGTGCGGCTCAGCTGGTTGGGTGTCACCCTGTGCACCGAAAGAGATTAAGCAGCTCTGAGGCTGTGCATGGCTCAGCTGCAGGAGGCCACCACATCCCAGCACAGAGCCAGCACATGTTGCTGCTTTAGCAAAGCATCCACTCATTTTCTGGATGATTGGATCAGTTTGCCTTCGGTGCCTCTTGTACACGCCCTGCCCCACGTACATACAGGCACTTGGCCCTCCCTGGGGGCCTCACAGGGAGGGGGAGTCACCCTCGGGCTGAAGCATGAAGGTTCTGCTCTCTCCCTAAGTGAGGGAAGAACCCGACCAGGAACCAGGGACGAGAGGCCAGTGAGGAAGCTGGTGAGCCAACGTCTGCACAAGGGTGAGGGTCTAAGCCAGGGCGGCAGCGCAGGACAAAGTACAGAAGATGCCCGGGGGAGGGGGGACACGGTGCCTGCCTGGGTGGTTCAGCTGAGGAGGGAGCCCAGGAAGGTCCCCAGGGCTCTCATCATCGAGGGCGGGGCCGGGGGCGAAGGTGGAGTCACCCCCTAGTGTCTCCTGAATCCAGACAAGGATTCCAGCAAAAGTCGTTTATTTTGGAGAAAATGCCAGGAGAGTGGGGGAGGGACAAGGATAGGAAGGAAGTCAGTGACCACCTGGGGCAACTGGAGCTCCACCCTCCCTCCCCGCAGGGAACTCTGGGACCAGGCTCAG